AGGAGAGTGCGCAAAGCCACAAGCTTGTAAGACCGAGGAGTAGCCTCCGCACTAAGCTGGAGGGTCTGGGTCGGGACGTACCTCCTTGCCTGGGCGCTTTTTACAGCCGCCAGCCCGACCCAGGCCAGGGCCCGCGACTTGCCGAGGCCACCACGGGCTGCGCTGTTAGCGACGCTGCGCCTTCACGGAATCCCCTCCTGCGTAAGCACACTCATAGCTCCTGAGCCTCTGGAAGTCGTGCACGCCCAGGGCTGCGGGGAAGCCAAGGCGTCACTCACCTGAGAATGGGGAGCCGGAGTAAGGAACTGGACCCCTGAAGAAGCACGACCGGACAGCCACAGCCACTCAGCTTCTAAACAGCCGTTTGTGCGCCTGCGGGGCGGCCATCGCCGAGCCATCGTCACTTCCGTCATTCAAACCGCCCGCCAATGGCGGGACCAAACCGCGGGAATCGGCCAGGTCCCGCCTCCCCCGGGGGCCGCCGGGAGGGCCGCGCGGAGTTAAAACCCCTCTTCATGTGTACGCGTACTAGCGCGCGCTAGTCCCTGCGTAGAGGCCCATTATTTCTCATAGAGAAGGTGCCTTTGAAGTTTTATTTCTCTCAAAGAGCTTATGTCATCAGGAGACAGATTTAGAAGGGTGAAGTCATTTGTCCAGAGCCATGAGGTCATAAGGCCCCATCGTGAAGATTTCTTAGGATATATATATACCTTCGTGTAGTGACTACACAATTCATTGGTGCTATTGTACTGCAGTTTCTGATAGCTTTCACTTAAGGCCTCCAACTTTTAGCAGTGAACCGTATCATATTACTCTGTGCCTCCAGAGGTCCCAGACACCTAGAACATGCCAAGAATTTATCTACTGTAAGTAACCTATATTCAGAGAGGAGATGAGCACAGGTTCATATTTACTGAGCACTGAATCGACTCGGGTTTTTTTTTTTTTGTGGGGGGGGAGTTATGTGCCAGGAGCCCTGGTGGCGGAGTGGTTAAGCGCTGGGCTGCTAACCAAATGGTCGGCCAGCAGCTCCTTGGAAACCCTATGGGGGCAGTTCTACTCTGTCCTATAGGGTCCGTGTGAGTTTTAATCGACTTGTTGGCAATGGGTTTGGTAGTTTTGGATTATGCCCCAGAAGTCCCCGGGTGATGCAAACAGTTAAGGTGCATGGCTGGTAACACAAAGTTTGGAGGCTTGAGTCCAC